TGCATTTGCTAGGCAAGTGCTCTACTACTGAGCTAAATCCCCAACCCCTGTTTCTATCTTTTTGAATAATTTAAGTCATATTGGTTGGAGGTCTTCTTTAAATGTCTGGTAGAATTCTGCTGTAAATCCATCTGGGCCTGGGCATTTTTTAGTTGGGAGGCTTTATATTACCGTTTTGTTTTCCTTACATGTTATGGGTCTGTTTAAACTGTTGATCTCTTCTTGGTTTACTTTGGTGGTTCCCATTTCCCAGCTACCCATCCATTTCTTCTAGATTTTCAAATTTAGTAGCATATATGTTTTTAAAGTGTTCCCCTATTAAGTTCTGGATCTTTTTGGTGTCTGTTGTGATGTTTCCCCTTTCTTATTTTTTTTTTTTTATTTGGAGGTGGTCTTTCTCTCATTTGGTTAACTGGGCTAGGGGGGTCTGTCAATCTTGTTTATCTTTTCAAAGAACCAGCTCTTGGATTTGTTAATTCTTTCTATTGTTTTCTTTGTTTCTATTTCATTAATTTCTGCTCTGACTTTTGTTATTTCTTCTTGTCTGCTGGGTTTGGATTTCCTTTGTTGTTGCTTTGCAAGTGTCTTGAATTACAATATTAAGTCACTTATTTGTGTTCTTTCTGATTTTTTAATGTAGGCATTAGAGACTTAGAGCTATAAACTTCCCTCTAAGGACTGCTTTCAAAGTATCCCAGAGGTGTTGTATTGTCCTTTTCCCTTAGGTCCAGTAAGCAGTGGGAGCCTGAGCCAAAAGGGCAGTCCAGGGGTCTGGGGTGCTAAGAAAAAATATGGGCCAGTGACCTTACTAAGAGGAGACAGATGGGATGGGGAAGCTGGGAGTGAGAACGAGGCAGAGGGAGTCAAGGCACATTGGAGCAGGGTCAAACTTGCCCAGGAAAGACCTGCATACTAAATTTAAAACTAAGCATTGTATACAACAAAGAATACAATAAAAAATTATCACATAGAAAGTACTGAATAATATATTAAATAATATTGTATGTTAGAGTAAAATCTTAAAATGTGAATATTAATAATATGAATATAATTGAGATCAGTAGCAAAACATAAAAATTTAACAGAAACATGAAAACATATTCCTGTATGAAAAAGCCTATGATTTGATACTGATGTTATGTGAACAGTATGTGTATTAACAGAATAAAGCACTTTCTTTCAAATGTTAAGAAAACTAATAATGGCTGTAATTGTATCAAGTACTAAGCATACACAGTGAAAAAGCATTCCAGTAATCCAAATTGGCTATCTCAGTAAAAGAACACCAGTCTGGCCCTCTTCAAAAACAGATGGGGACCTTACAACTCCTAGTTGTTCATCATCATGCCCAATTACACTTCTGTTGGGAACAGTCTCACTTCTATTTTCATTCTTTATGACTAATCTCTGGGAAATGGTTTCCTGTGTTCCTATTGATACCTTGCTTTTTCCAGAGCTGGTTTCCAGCCTTTAATCAAGTTTAATAATTCTGAGGCTAAAAACGTGCGCCTGGTTTCTCTCCTGGCTTAATTCCTTATCACCAAATACTCGAGTGCAGTCGTTTGTTCTGATAACCTGAGGTTCATTGTTCAATGTACTTCTCCATATTTTCAAATTTTCTGACCAGTTGATTGACTAAATGACTGACTGGTTGATCCTTTTGAGATAGGCTGTCCTGTAACCCCAGCTGGTCTGGAACTTATATAAACTAGGTTGGACTTGGTCTCACAGAGATCCCCATGCATCTGCCTCCCAAGTGTTGGCATTAAAGGTGTGCACAACTATGCCCAGTTTGACCAGTTAATTTTTCATTCCCAAATAAGAAATCTATTTTGAAAAATATAAATACTATATCCCATCTCACTTTGCTTCTACAATCTTTCAACATTTTGCTCTCTGCTTCAAATTCAACCAAATAAAACTTTTACTACGATACTTCCCTGCGTTACCAGGCTCCTGAGTATCTTTCCAGACTCACAATGTTCATCTTCTCTGATACCCACCACTCAATACTAAGTGCTGACAACTCTACCAGCCTTCCTTCAGTCATTCCAAAACTAGGAATTATTTCTTCTTTCTCACTGTTTAGGATGAGCATTAATGTGATGCTCCTTAGGAAGACATTAGTGACTCTAGGTAATAATTTCTATAGTTCATCTTTTCATAGATATATTTTGAGTATGCACGAGTATGTAAAAAATGTCATTTGATTTATTGCCCATATTACTTAATTGATGTGGAGTCTCAAAAATGATAGGAATCATGTATTTAGTTCCCCTCTGTATTTAGATAATAGAACCTGACACAATGGACACTCAGAGAATCTATCTTTAATCTGTTTAGTCGTGTCATTATAGTATTTTCCTATGTCCATCAATAATAGCATTTCATGTGGTTTTATATAATTCTAAATATGTAAAAACAACCTTCTTATCCAATTTGAGATTTAATTCATTTCCTAATTTGGAAACAAAAAAACACATGAATTTCCAAAGATTAAATGTATGTATATATTTTAGAGGAATATAATAAGACAAATACAGTGCCTTTTAAGAATCAATACACATGTATAAAAATCGGCAAATACAAGCACATTGCAAGCAATTGTTGTATATTTATCTCTGACAATTTCATAATATTTAACTGAACATTGATATTATTCTTTTAGTATAGTATCTTTATGAGAGTCCCAAATGGAATATATGCCAATTTTTTTAATTAAATGTCTGAAATAATACAATGGTTAAATGGACATACACGAAGCAACAGTTCTCAAACTTTGCTGTAAATCGAAATGCTTAGGGATTTTTTTTTTTAACGGTTCCTTGCTCAGGTACCTTCCTGAGGGATTTCCCTCAGCATACTTAGGATACAGTTAACTCACTGTATTTTTAACAAGCTCCCCAGGGGCTTCTGATTCACAGTCTCTTAGAAGACCACCAAATTTTCCAGACTGAATTGAGATACAAAAATATTAGCATTAAGTTCTTGCTCCTTTAGCCAACCTGGTGTTGTTCAGTAATCTTTAGGTAAATAGAATAAGTGACTTTGTAAAACATATAGACTTGGAATAGAGTTTTCTTACTAAACCGTTCTATCCTCATTATCCCATTATTGGTTATAGTTGTGGTTCCCCACTTCAAGGCTTTGAACTAAGTTCCCTCTGCATGTGAAGTTCGCACCCAGTTTTGCATGGCCACATCACTTTCTTTCCCTTAGTTTTCTCCTCTGTGGAGTGAGGGCTTTCCTTACATGTGAATCAGTTCACATGTTGTTGGAAAGTCTTGAAGGTTGCATAAGGTTATGTGCAACTAGTCTTTCCAATCTTTTGCTTTCCTCTTCTCACTTTTATATGCAAACACACAGAACACAGTGATTATCATAACATATATCCCAAATAACACCTAATTCTTTAAAAAAATATTTAGCACATAAGTCATAAACTTAAAGTCTGGATAATGGTCCCTTTGGCGACTGTTCATTTTCCCCCCTTGAGAGTGCACCACTTTACTCTCTAATAAAATCTATCTTCTATGCTAAAAGATAATAATGAATTCTAAGTCTGAATATTACTCTAGATTTCATCATTCATACCTTGTTTTCTAAGTAAGAAAAACCAAAACCAGAAAGGTTTGATAATTATCCCCTCAAGGCCACCACCCAGTCTAAACTTCTTGTACCACATTTGTGCCTCTGAACTCCTGAGTATTGTTTAAAATAATTTAGTATTCATATAACTCCTAGTGCATTCTAAAATTACATAGTTTTCATTATACAATAAAGACTTGTTCCTGCTTTCCATGTAGTGCAACTGTCTTACCTCCGCCCCACCGCAGGCATCTTGCCAAGTCATTGCCAGTCCCAAGAGGCAGAATAGCAACTGGAGGGTGCTTGGCTACATTAGCCTTTTCTGTGGAATTGAATAGTGAATACAAACTTGTGAGCCTAATTAGACTAATATTTTTAAAAAAGAATTTCTTAAAGTACTTATACACAGAAAAAAAGTTGTTTTATAAATACAATTACAAATAACACTATTTTATGTATTTGTGGCACTTGATAAAAGATAAATAACATTCTTAAAGTAATAGGGACTTCAAAATTAATGCATGGGGAAAGCCTTTTAAATACTGTCAGTCTAGTGCAAATGGTGTTCTGTGTGTGTGTGTGTGTGTGTGTGTATTTCAATTAAAATTTTCGTGGAGGTAGGTACGTGCAGCACAGAAATGCAGATGTAATAAGGGGGGCATGAAGGTTCCTATATAAGTTACTTTTGCAAGATCAACTGTAAGAACATTTTACTTTAAGAAAAAAATATTTGAAACAGTTGAATTCTAAAATCAAATAGTTGTTAATCCTCAAATTGTTCCTATCTACAGCATTGCAATGTTTCAAACCAAATGGACAGAACAGTAATGTTGGATTACTGAGATTATCAGGTTCATTTGTTCATTAGTCATTTCAATTAACTATTATGTCATAGAGCTTCACATTCCGAGCTTTAAGATCTGTCACTGAAATTGCATATGCTTTTATTTGAATCATCAGATACACTGAGTGAATCTCACAAACATATTATTTAAATTTTTTTTTCATTCTTTAGTGCCTCAAAGTCAATGTGTTGGGTACATGTATGAGTAGACTGATGAGGAAATTTAAGAATATACCACAACTTGGGGGCGAGAATGAGTCAAAATTTCCCACTGTTTTCACATTAAAATTCTTATAAATGCATAGACACTTCTCCCCTTACTCAGTAAATTCTATAATTCTTAAATCTCAGTTGGTATAGAGTATCCACAAATACTGTTTATATATTTTATTGGAATGCTAATATCAGAGTTTTCACTGACTATTTTATGCAGTGTTCGTAGAATAAATTGTTAGTCTCCCAAAAGCGTTCGTTTCAACATGTACTCTATTTTTTTTAAGTTTTCTTTGTTTATTTTCAATGTGTTTTTCCAGTAACTGCAAATACTAAACCACGGTGGGGGGGTATTCCAGGCTTAGGCTAATGGTTGTGCTCCCTCCATGATATTTTAAATTTGATTTAAAAAAAAAAAACGGATATTTTTTAGTGCACGAAGATAGAATGTTTTAATCTGCATTTTTAAAGGCAGAAAATCAGAAAATAGAAATTTTTGTCAGTTTCTATAGATAACATGGTTTTTTTGAATTAATATTTATTTTGAAAAGGTCCTGTACCTAACAAAAATGTCTCAATTCAGAGAAGGAGAGGTTTTTTTTTAAAACTTTTAAAAAACTTATTGAAAATTTAATACATACATATAAGGTGTTTTGACCAAATCCATGCCTACTCCCTGGCCTCCAACTCCTCCCATATCTCCCCATCACTTTTCTTGACAACTTCATGTGCTTTTTATTAATGGGGTTTTTGCCACTCTATCATTCCCCTCTCTAATAAGGTAAACATAAAATCTTTTAAGGATTAGATAAGAGCTCCCAAATACTTGTGACATTTTTGGCCTTTGGAACAGAGTATTTTGCAAAGAGGCCCAAGGACAATTTGACTTTTAGCCGAGTAACTGGCTGCATTTCTTTGGGGTCTTCTTACCCTAACTGCCTGCTCAATTCCGACCTATTCCTATCTCACCATCCTCAGAAGAGGTTCCCCAAATTGCCAATAGGGGATCTGGGCACAGACTGCTCTGGCTTCTTCCATGCTGAACAGGGACACAGGGTGAGGCAATTGGCTGAACAGGGATGCAGGGTGAGGTAATTGGGGTACCCCTTCAGAGGGTCTATCTAAATGACTCCCAAATTGCATGACTCTTAACAGTAGGGAGAAAAGAAACTCCTAGAGTGGTGCCGAGGAGATGTGAAGGAGAAGTAAAGGCAAGAGTAGTTTTAGCATTACAAGTTCTACACAGTGAACCAGAAAATAGAATAGGGCAAATTTCAAATGTTCATATCAGAGTCCACTGAAACCCTTAAAAATCTAAAAATGAACCTATGATATGAGCCAGTCATACCACTCTTTGGCATATACCCAAAGGACTCATCCTATCGTAAAGACACTTGTACAACCATGTTTGTTGCTGCTCTTTTCACAGTAACTAAGAGATGGAAGCAACCTAAGTGTCCCTCAACTGACGAGTGGTTATCAAAAATGTGGTACATTTACAAAATGGAATTCTATTCAGCAACAAATAAAGATGAAAAAATGAAATTTGAAGGCAAGTAGATGGATCTAGAAACTATTATACTAAGTGAAGTAACATAGACTCATAAAAACAAATGATGTATGTTCTCCCTCATTTGTGGATCCTAGCACCAAATCCTTTTAAATTCCATGTTCCTTTAATAAGATGATGCTGTACAGCCAAACAACCGTCATCATCACGACTTCAGCTGTGCCTTCTTGCTAAACCTCGTCACAATTGGGCTTGCGGATGATTGTGCTCCTTCAAGGAGGGGTAAGCAGGGTCACTGGATCCTCACCAGAGTATCCACCCACTCTTCCCAGACAACTGTATGTAATTTGGCCCTAATCACACATAGTCTCCTGGATTTAGGAGTGACTAAAGTATATAATCTGGGGAAGACTAGGAAAAGAAGGTTTGATCCATGCTGGATAAAGGCTTTCCAGTGTGCATACCCTCAGGTCACTCATACACCTCAGCAAACCCTCAGTCATCTCTGTAAGTAAGCACAGTAGATTCATTGGTTTCCCAGGAAAACTTTAATCAAACATTGATTTGGGAGTAGAACCTTAGAAAGGGATAAACTTTGCTTAGTATCCCCAGGAAAAGAATTCTCACAACAGATGGAAAATTTATTTATTAATGTTATTATGTCTCATAATTATTAAAAAAGAAAATGAGAATGTAAAAGATGTTAAAAGGATATGGGGATGGAGATATTTTCCAAAGTAGACAGAAAAAATGAGAAAGCCTAAGCAAGTGATGAAGGTCTGTGTAGGTTTATTATGATATATGAAGGATGAGACAAAAATAATATACATGCAATCTTAAAATTTCGAAGGCAGGTGGATCTCTGTGAGTTCAAGGCCAGCCTGGTCCACAAAGTGAGTTCCAAGACAGCTGGAGCTACCGGGAGACCCTGTCTCAAAAAGACCAAAAAAAAATTTCTAAGGTCATAGTTTAGTCAACTACTTTAAGGAACTAAATATGTCTAGTCAAGGTTTATCTGAGAACGTTTGGGTTTTGCCCAAGCTTTAGCTACATAGCACATGGTAATTAAAAGTACCAGACTGGTGGAACTAACCTTCTTGGATGTTTAACAGCCATACTTTGAGACCTATATTCATCTGGTCAGAGAGACCTAAAGGAAAGTTTTTGCTCCTTGCCCTCCAAGGTTGACTAAGTTCCAAGGGACTATCAGCATCTCTAAAAATGTCTTATAACTGTGGTGAGTCACCTGTCTTCTTGCTCAGGGAGGCTATGGAGACCTCACCAGATGGACTTGAACCAGTGTCCAGTGTACAAAGAGGAGAGTCAACAAAGAGGAAATATTTCCTCCATGCTTCCAAGTGAAGCCAGGCACGGTTGAGTAAGACCTTTGACTTATCTTCACATAGATGGAACTGGTAAAAGAAAGGAGCCAGGACCCCTGTGGAACAGATCCTCAAATGACCTTAAGTGTAAAAAATAAATTGATTTATTTGGGCCCACTCTATGGTCTTAAACACCCAAAATGAAAGTATAACCAAAGATTAAAGTGGTCAGTACATTTCTTTAAGAGTTCAAGGGATTACACTTCCCAGACATTAGACTTAAGTCCATATAAAATGTTATTTAGACAATTATTTCTCACTGATAATTTTGTTTCTAATCAGAAAGCTGTTCAGATGTAAGACTTCAAATCTTGGTCTGCAATACTGTGGTGCCCTCCAGTAGCTAAGGGAGACAACCCACTATTTTTCTAAAATGATGGTTAAATTTGTTTTCTCCCGCTATCTATAAGCCTTTGGGAGGGAACTGACACTGATTCTAACTACTCCAACAGCTATCAAAGTGCATGAAAACAAATCCTGAGTCCATCCCTCTCGAGTCCAGCCTTGGGAAACAAAGAAAAATGAGGAGGAACTGAATAAAGGGATGCTTTTGGAAGTGAGAGTTTTAAAAGTTAAATATTTGTTTTGGATTCATCATCTCATAAATACCAATTCATTATCTGTTTTTCTAACTACTAATAAGTTCTGATAACTCACAGTCCTGAAAATATTTATACGTTTTCAGAATATATTAAATTATTCTTGTGCTACATGCTCAGTTTTTATTGTCATAGGCATGATTTTGGATTTATAAACTGAAGCTCTTTACATGTATTCAGAATAACAGTAAAGAATAAAATAAAGGTGTGGAGTCTAACTCCTGATCTATCACTTTAGAAGATTTTGAGGTCTTTATTATAGATTCCTCAAGTCTTATAAAACCATCTCTGAATGAAGATGAATAAGAAATGCAAAACAGGATTCAGAATTAGCTGAGAGCACATGATAATGATAAATCAGTCATGATAACAACAATGATGGATGCTATGCAAGTACACAGAGGGAAGGTAAAAATTTGATGCTTTTATTCAAATGAGCTAAATACATGCGCTGGGCAAAGACTTTATTAGAGGTATTACTGTCCCTCTAAGTGTCTTGCCCTGGGGAAAGAAACAGTAATACTTCCTACAGCCTGATTTGAAAATAAATATTTAGTTTTTGGAAACACTATGAGAAGCAGATTAGAAAATAAGAATTTCGAGCCAGTCATGGTGTTGTGCATCTTTAATCCCAGCACTGAGAAGGCTGTGGCAGGGAGAGTTCTGTGAGATAAAGGGCAGCCTGGGATGGTCAAAAAATACAAATCTCTGTCCTGGTTGAAGCCTTAACTTTCCCGTTTTTCAATGTCAGTCTCCTGGTGATGTGACTACCCCTAGGAGAGAAGGGATGCTAAAGTTTAACGGGTGCTTTAAGTTGTGTGAAAGAGATAGCTAAAATACTTATTGCATTAATGATATAGTGAACTTTTCTTTCCCGGAATCCCACCTCTCAGAGCAGTTCTTATGAATCTGGTCACAGACATGAAGCCTCTGTTAAACCTTGCCTGCTTTTCTGAATTCTTCAGAGAACTGTAACCTCTGCTTTTCTTCTTCTTCACGTCTCGTTTCTAGCCATGCTTTCCCTAATGCTTTCGACCACCCAAACTTCTTGAATTTCTTTACTTTTGTGCTGAAGCTTTCTTCTCCCCACCATGTGGCTGCAAGTCTACCACCTGCCTGTCTGACGTTCATGGTGGCTCCAAACAGGCATGCTTCTTGGCTTTTGCCTTCTATAGTCCATTCTCCCCCTCAAGGCACGTGCTGTGATGTATGGCTTGCCTTCACTAAAGATTTTTCCTTAAATGCTAACAAAGTTTTCCTAAAACTTTCATTTGAGTTCATTCTCAAATTCTTTCATGAATGAGATTAGGGATCCATGGGGGGAATCTGATCTCCCCTGCATCAAATATATTAAACCAATTTTCAATATGTCAGATGACTAATTATATTATTGAATCCACAGATATTGATTCTGTTGAGATACAGGTAGGTCTGTAAGTAGGTAGGTAGGTACGTAGACATGTAGGTAGATGCTAAATACATGATAGAGAATCAGAGAGACAGAGAGAGCAGAATTTAAGGTACCATTCTCACCCAAGCCACATTAAATACATGTCTTTATTACCTATGCAATCCAAAATCCAGCCCACAGTTCCATCTCCACCACATGCCAACACTCTGAAGTCAGGGACATCACGGAAAAAGTTCAACCTGAAAAAAATAAGCATTTTATGGCACATGATTGATACTTTACCAAGAGGACTTTCCCAGGTTTTTATTTATTCTTAGCATTTTATCATTTTTGTTTAATGAAAACTGGAAATAGTTCCTTAATATCTTATGTATCATTCAAATATACATGGTGGATGCATATTCCAGATGCTATTCTTTAAATATAATTTTAAAATTAAATATATCAAATATAAAACTAGAATTATAATAACTAAAATTATATAATATATAGTATAATAACTAAAATTATATATTAGATAATTTTTAATTTATATAAAAACTAAAATTATAACTTTGACCATGATGTCCTTCCATATGTGATCAAAATTCAAATACTCTAGAATAACAGGCTCTAGCATTCCATTAAATGAGCTTTGTCAATCAAAAATTATATTTTGAATCATTATTTAAATGTGATTATTGGGTCATCAATATAATGTGTTCCATAGTTTTCTTTCTCCATTTCTGGGAGAAATTGATCAGACTGCAGCTGGGATTCTAGCAGCTGTTTTTGGAGTTTCCTTATGACTTACAATCTACAAATCAAGCCAAACTTCACCTTGTCTTTTGACCCGATCAACAGCATTTACCACCCAGGAGTGCTGAAGCTTAATCGCTGGGTCAGTTATGCTAAATAAGCCCGCCCCTGATGCTACCACATGCAGCACGCTCATTAATGCATCTCACCTTGGAAAGTCACAAAGGTAGGTAATGCGCTCAGCTAGACAGTCCTACATGTCTTTTTTATTTCAAATAAAGAACTGAAGCAGAGCAGAAACTGGCACAATCTACCTTTCTTTGTCCCATGGTTAGCACTGGGAATAGTATACTATGGAACCATGCCAGCCTTTTCTATACACTGTATAGACATATGTGAGTGGCCATCTATAAAGCCATATTATGTATATTTAATTATTTTTTTAAATTTATGTGTATGTGTGTGTGCAAGTCTCTGCTATGCATGGTGAGGTGCCAGGCAGAATAGGGTGTGAATCCCCTGGATTTGGAGTCATATATGGCTGTGAACAACCTGCCATGGGTGTTGGAACTGAACTCCGGTCCTCTGGAAGAGAAGTAGGTATTCTTAACCACTAAGCCAGCCAACTCTTCAGCCCATATTGTGCATATTTTTAACATGGATAAGACTATGTTATAAACGTGTCTCTTTTTTAATTTTTTTTAATTTTACTTATTTATTTTTAATTTTATGTGTATGTGTGTATTGCCTGCATGTATGTAAGTGCACCTGTGTCATGCAATGCCTGCAGAAGTCAGAAGAGGCTGTTGGATCCCCTGGGACTGGAGTTACGGACAGTTCTTAGTTGCCATGTGGGTGCTGGGATTCAAACCTGGGTCTTCTGCAAGAACAACCAGTGTTCTCAAACACTGAGCCATCTCTCCAGCCCCTAAGCTTTTTTACTTAATACCTGTCTGAGAGATCTTCCTATATTTCCACACAACATATAGATGGTATGTGTCTAATCACGCCAGGTCATGATTGTCACATGATGTGAGTGAATGCATTTCAACATTAAATAACTTGTTTTTATGATCTTTCACACTGTACTTTGTATTTCACCATTAGAGGATGGAGATGTAGTTCAGTGATAAAAATCCATTTCTCCGTATGTGTGAGGTATTAAGTTGTCAAATTGTTAAAAGAATCATGTTTTTCAAGTTCATGCTTTCAGTAATGTTCTAGAAATGATAATATTGGAAGAGTGAGTATCTGAAGCACGGTTGTGTGCATACCTGCATGTGTTTGAAGCCTATTTCAGAGGGCAGTGTTCTACTGCACTCACTGTATTGCTCAAAATGCCCTCCCAGAGTAGAAGATGAGGGCCCAGTTCCTGGAAACCCCTGAACGGTACACTTGAACTTTATACCTCTGCTTCGATCAGTGTAAAACACTGCTTCTTAGTACTTGGTTGAGCATTTTCATAGTTTTCTTCATGATATGTGATCTCTTCCATGAACATCATTATCAAAACCTTGATTCTCTTAAGTGTGCTGTCTTGTAATCACATTTAATAAATTTCTGACATAGTACAAGGGATATTTTACATTGAAATTAAATTTCCTTAAAATATGCTTTGCCAGAACTATACAAACTGTATACAAATAAACAAAAAATGCATAAAATTTAATCATTTGATAATGAAACTCACAGGTATTTAATATGAATCTCCATGCGTTTCCTTCTGCATCGTAATGTACATATATTCTATGTATGTTGCAAATATTTTATTTCAGTCTATTACCATTTATCTATATTATGCACCATATAGTAAAGGCCTGTGCACCAATGGCAAACTCAAGCAGAATCTATGAGTATCCAACATAGTCTTCTGTCCATTTCCCTACAATGCAGACCTTCCTTGTTCACACAGGTGCACTACTGCAACACTGGGCTGCATGTGCTTGTCATAAGCAGCATTCTGCTCCCTGCATTTTCTGCTTAGCACTGGCACTCATAGCCATCCATATTACTGCTAAATCTCTTTCAGTGAGTAACCGCTTATTTTTATCTCTACTGAGTGTAAAACACCAAACATAAACATTAATGTGTCTATCGATGTCAATGTCAGTGGGCATTTGAACTAACTGGATTCATGTTGTTATAAAATGCTGTCTTGTATATGCTTTTGTAATTATAAACAGTGCCAGCTTTCAGAGTAAAGTATATAATAAGCAACAATATAAGACAATGCGAATTAATTTATCAACGACCTCGTACAAATATTCAAATGAATGGACTCCACAGAGTCCATCTCCAATGCTCAGGATTTTTATTTTTTTAATTCTTTTGAAAAAAATTCTCCTCTATTTTCACTTACTTGATTCTTGTTGGTTGGTGAATTTTTTGACTTGTTCTTGATTTTATTTATCTTGGTTTATATTTTTTCAGATATATCTTATGAGTTGGATGTTCTTTTTTTCTTGAAAATCCATTAATATGTATTTTTACAAATATGAATTTAATTACAATGTATTCAAATTTATCAGTCTCTTGATAAGTGGCTAGGACTTTTAATCAGTTCTGTGTAAGTCTCTACATTCATTTAGGAAGGAATTCTCATATGGTTTCCTAAAATTTCAGCTGTACGTTTTGGCATAGGAATGTTTAATTTGCTGTGTGGTGAGGTAAGCATCCCTTCATTTCCTGCCTTCTTTCCCTCTCTCTTTCCCAGCCTCTACAATCCCCTCCTTCCCTCCCTCTCTGTTTATCTCTCCCTTTCTAATTTATTTTTCTTGTAGCACACCTAGTTTTTATAATCTATTTTATTCATATTTCATTTATTAAATAACTTAATTTCCCCATATAAAATGAAATAAAAATCAGCTTCTAATGTTGCATATTTTCTATTGTATTTTCTAATCTTTCTCATGAATTGGTTCCCCCTGTACCAGGGCCATGCTCTCCTAATCACTACAGTTTTCTCAGAAGTGTAGACCTCAGAGTGCATGAAGAATCTGAGTTTGTGTTTCTTCCTTGCTTTTATTATATATTTTAAAAGTAGATTTATTATATTCTACAAAAATAAAAACAGAGCTGGGGCTACAGGGAGACCCTGTCTCAAAAAGACAAAAATAAATAAATAAATAAAAACAGGAAGTAAAAATCAATAATGATATTGAATGGTATTAAAGCTACACATCAAATTAAGAATAAATAGTATTTTAAGTTAAATTGTCTTATCTTCGAATATAAGATTGCTGGGTATACTTTACTTTTACTTAGTATTTTCTAATGAAGTTTAAGATTTTCTGTATACAGATATTTCATATGCTTTGTGGTTGTTTATATAGTTTTTTATAGATATTTTACATAGCTTTAAAAATATGCCAGTTAATACTAATATTATTTGCTGCTAGAAAACAATTTACCTAGTATATACTGATTATCCAAGCAGTCATATTACTATTTTATTATCTATACTTTGTAAATTTATTTAGAATTTATGCATACAATTGTGCTACATTAATAAAATAACATTAGGATCCCAATTTTATTATAGCTCTGTCTCATTTTCCTCACTGAAATTCTAATATACAATTGAATGAATGTTCATAGAGACTCACCATATCTTGCTTCTTATCTTATATGGAGATATTCTAGTATTTATCCAGTTCAAAGGATATTTGTTGTACAAATTTTCATTTTCTCTTCCTTTTTAGTTAGAACATTTCATAAGAATAATAAAGTTAGCTTCTAGTTCTATAGTCTCTCTCTCTCTCTCTCACACACACACACACACACACACACACACATTGAGACAGGGTCTTCCTGTAGCACCAGCCATCCTGGAAGTCATTGTGTAGACCAGGCTGGCCTTGAACTCACAGAGATCCACCTGCCTCTGTCTCCTGAGTGCTGGGATTAAAGGCGTGCACCATCACACTCGGCTTATAGTCATATTTTTAAGATTAATAAATCTTTTGAGATGCTGTCATGGCTGCTCTCATTTAATTGGCTAATATGAAAATATGTGTTTACATATCTCTGCATCATGAAACCATTTTTACCATATCTCTGCGCACCCCAGTTGGCAACTGTGTACTAACAGTTTTGTAGAAATCTGGATTTGGTTCACTAATTCTGTAACTGCATTCAAGGACAAAATAGACCTAATTTTTCTTCACCATCTCAATTATAACTTTTATCAGAATTATAGTATGGCATAAAATAAGCTGTAGAAAATATTACATTCTCTTCTACTTTTGAGAAATTTGTATGGTTTTGGAAGTTTCATAAAAACTAATGACGTTTGAGTAAAAACATCAATTTCTGGTAATTATTTTTAAAATAGGCATATCTATATATAAATATTTAAATTTCTTTAATCATTTTTGAAATATAATTAAATACAAATATTATTGAAAACAAATGTCTTTTATCTTCCTAACACAACTTTGTCCAGTTAATCTCTGTAGCAGTTTGTGGCCCTCATCTGCATTTCTGAGCCCTTGGGCACTGA